AAGTATTACGCAAATCCGTGCAGTGCAGCCATCTGTCTCTTCTGTTGACGCTTGGCCCAAGACTAGACTAGACTAGACTAGACATAGTCTTAGAAAAATGGCTGCAGGAATATCATTTTTCATGGTATCTTCAAATTTTAAATATTAACTGATGAGACGTGACTTTCAACCCATAACTTTTCTGGTTTGCTCAAGGACTGATTTCATGTATTTTGTATATGAAAAAAAAACAAAAAAACATTCAGTATGGTACAATTTTTTTCAATACCTAAATTGTGTGTGTAGCACACTGTTGTCAGGATCTGTTACCATTTTAAGTTAGGCAGGTCATTTTCAGCTGTGAGTCCCAAAATGGGGGGAGCAGGTTAACAGGTTAATTTAACAGATAGTTAAAGATCACTAACACCAACGTGGTCTTATTCTAAAATGACAATGATTCATCTGTTAAACCTTTTACGTGTGAGATCACAATGGTATAAAAAAGTGACGTGACATGTGGCCAAGTATGGTGACCCATACTTGGAATTAGTGCTCTGCATTTAACCCATCCAAAGTGCACACACACAGCAGTGAACACACACACACCGTGAATACACACCCGGAGCAGTGGGCAGCCATTTTTGCTGCGGCGCCCGGGGAGCAGTTGGGGGTTCAGTGCCTTGCTCAAGGGCACCTCAGTCGTGGTATTGAAGGTGGAAGAGAGCGCTGTACATTCACTCCCCCCACCTACAATTCCTGCCGGACCGGAGACTCGAACCCGCAACCTTTGGGTTACGAGTCCGAATCTCTAACCATTAGGCCACGACTTCCCCCTATATGATCACTCTTGGTTAGTCCATGCAGTGTACGATCACACCAGTGGGATTTGAACATTTAAATCTGTGTTCGCGCTGCTGCTGACCTAGAGTGCTTTCACACTTGGTTCGCTTGCCTGGTCCGAACCTGAGTTCGATTGCTCCCCCCTCCCCCTGCTGGACTGTGTTCATATTATTTTATTTGGGTCCAAACCGCGGTTCGTTTGCGTCATCAAGCCAGCAGCTGTTTACCCCATTGCTTAGTAACAACGGCGCAGGAGAAGGCGACAAATGCATAACATTGCTCTCTGCACTTTTATATATTCACGTTTTTGAACCGTTCGTTTTGTTTACAAAGCTTTGGTACATAATGGCACTTACGTCTGTCTTACGAATGTACTGCAAATGCTCTAAAGAACGCTGAAGGCGAACAGAAATGAGATAACAGCTCTCTGCTTGCAGCGCGTCAGGAAAGTGAGTGAAACACACACACAAACACACATTTTTATCAAATAATACATTAATAGCGGTTCACTTCCACGATTTGGTACGATTGCATTCACATCAGCAGCGAACTGTACCGGAGTTCACATGAACCGTACCCCAGACCACCCTTTTTAAGCGGACTCGGGTACGGTTCGCTGGTGCACACCTGAGGTCGGAAGACCGTGTTCACATCATCCAAACGAACCGAACTCTGACGTCAATCGAACCCGGGTGTGCACCAAAAGTGCTAGTGTGAAAGCACCCCTAAAGAGAGCAGCTGTCATGTATATGAATGAAACAGTTTCACAGTCTTTTTAACCACACAGTCAAAAGTTATTTCTGTGTTACAAGCAGTCAAATATTCACAGAAGTACTAGGATTTACATTTATAGTTTGGATATAAACACTGATGTGTACAGTAGCGATCAAAATAGAGTCACCTTTTGAAAGTAATTTGACACTTTTAATAAAGATTGATCGATTACGTTGTTGCACCAGTAGGTGGCGGAAAGGGGATGTTAAAATGTATTTGTCTTCGAATCATTCAAGAGATTTGTTCAAAAATGTTGATTCATCCAGTAATGAAACAAGTACATCTTGAGTGAGTCATTAAGTCATAAATTGCATGTGATTTTGTTTAGTTGACTAATGTTTTTTCTTTAGAATCGTGAGAACCACAACCTCCATTTAAAAAAAAATCTAAATTTATCCAGAATCTGCATCTCTATTTTGCACACAAACAGCTCTTAAATGAGTCAAGTTTTTATGTAGCCTGCTGATTTTTGTTCGTGGGATTCAGCTGCAACTAAATGTTCTGCAAAAAAAGACAGAATAAATATGTTTGATATCTAAATGTTTGACTTCATTTTTTTTTTTTAAACCACATTGGAATAGAAACAGGGAATCGATAAGCAGAATAGGAATTGAAATTGATAAAATTCAAACAATACTGAACCCTACGCTGGAGTCAGTGGAGTTACACCTGCTATTTTTTAAGACAGCACTCTTAATAGCGCTTGCTAATGCTTCTAAGTGCATTAGAAGTGCAGTGTAAACTGCAACTGACTGTATTAATTCAGAGAACTGTGAACGCCAGCCACTGAGATCACTGCAATTATACGATTGGCTGAGTTGCCTCACATGATCCAATTTGGCCTTTACATCTTCTAGTGGTAAGTACTACAGAACCTCGCATCTCCCAATAATAAGAAAATCTTTGGCATCGGTGCTCCAATGCTATTCCTGTTTAGTTGTATGCCTAATTTGAACCACTTAATTGATTAGCTCCAAATACATTGGTCATACTTTTAATTCCACTAAAAAAAAAAGAAAAAATCACCCACAGTACATCTTAGATGGCCTGAGGGTGAGTAAATTAACAGCAACTTTTAGTTTTTAAGAGGTATTTTTTATTTTTTATATATATATTGATCTATCTTTTTCTCTGCAGTTCAGGAGCAGTGTATGAGGTTTGGATTAAAAGTGTTCAAGTGAATGACTAATGTCTTACCTGACATGAACTTTTCCCTCCCTCATTTAACAATCCAGCACAAATCATATTGTTTGTGATGCCCCCTCCGTAAGCTTTATTACAGTCCTTGTGGCTCACAATTGGTATAATCACCTCCTGCAGGATGTTAGCAGACTGGCCTGTGACAGATCAGAGGACAAATTTTATGACTTTTAAAATACATTGCTAGGTAAATTGTTGGTTTACAGTATTGTTTGTATTCAGTTAACTGGTAAGCAAATGTTCACTCACCTTCAGACTGTAGCCTTCCCCATCCAGTTACCCAGCTCTCTGTACCTGCAGCAAATTTACTACCAGCAGCAGCCAGACAGACTGGCCTAATATAATCAGAGAAAGTCACAGAAGAAGAGAGTTTGACCAGTGCTATGTCGTTGTCAAACTTAGGATTGTCATAGTTAGCATGGATGATGATTCGACTCGCTGTTCTAGATATCTCATAAGGGTTGGAGCCCCACTGCCTCCAACGCCCAAAGTACATCACAATGACGGATGCACTGTAGCTGTAAAAAGAGAAGGTTTGCTTCAATTCCTCTGTTATCTACAATCTACAATTGTATCTTAAACTTTATTTAAGATTCAACATACTCCTGGAAGCAGTGAGCAGCAGATAAAACCCAGTCTTTATTGATTAGACTCCCACCACAGAAATTAACTCTTAAAATCTTGTGGTGAATGCTGACTTGCCACGGCCAAGACCCTGCTGTTGCATTCTCCCCTCCAACAATTTTTTTGTTAAGTGGGGCTTGACCACATACTGATGAGAGGAAAGATATGAGAATTCCTTGTTAAAATGTCTCACAGACATAGTAGAGTCATTCTGTGTGGAACAAGAGATTTCCGATCATTAAGAGTATGATAACTTACCATCTAACTGACAGCGGGAACCTGTATGGGTAGACAATTACAAAGTAAGTAGACCGTAATTTAGACAAAGCTGATAAACTTGTTTGTGTAGCCTGTACTGAATAAAGTAACTAACCTTCTAAATCAAGCCAATTTTACACGCAGTGCATACTGTATGTAAATTAGCAGCATAACTACAGCAGTAGGCTTACATTGTGTTTCAACACTGAGGCTGCATTTACACTGCAGGTCTTGATGACCAGTTCCGATTTTGAGACTATATCCGATTTTTTTGGACGACATGCTTACATTTCTTTTAAAAGTGACCCATATCCGATGTGTGCATTTTACACTGCACTTGGTGAAACAAACCAAAAATAGCATATATGACATCACAAATCAATTTCAATAGTACATTGAGTTTAATTTATTGACATGGAATTCATGTCATCCATACATCAATTATATAGTACAAATTCTTCACGACAGTGATTATGTACGCAGCTCTGCTGAAAGTTTGCAAGTGGAATAATACTCAGGTGGTAGATATTTACGCATGACGCAGTCGTATAGTGTTTTTATTTTTTTTTTACTCATTAAAACCAAATGCGTTCATTAGTGATTGTATATCGAGGGCAGGGACATGTTTGTGTGCATTTTATTTTGTGGTTTCAATGTAGCGAATGGGGAGAGTCTCCACAACCGGACTGAAGCGCTCTTCTGTGCACGAGCCGCCATCATTGACAACATTTCAAAAGCAACACATTTCAGCATCAGATCGCCTTTTATTTAACACTAACGAACGAAATTAATACTCTGCTACTAAACTAGAGATGTTTAATTTGTTACAGGTATGGCTGTGCAGCGAAATGTTTAAAAAACTCACTTTTTAATTACGTATGTCGCATTAACAGGGGAATATCCGATCTGTCCGCTTACATGGCATGTGCAAATGCACGTATCCAATTCATATCTGATTTATTTCCACATATGAATGAGGCCTGAAACCGATCCATGTGATTTTTCCTGCTTACACGGTCGTGGGCCATATCCGATCTGTGCCACATGGGAGGAAAAAAATCGGAATTGGTCACTTGAACCATGCAGTGTAAATGTGGCCTGAGAGTGTTTCTGCTACATAATTGAACTTCATCTCATATGGGTTGCTATGGTTATGGTTAAGATTCTGTCATGTACGGAAACACACTTGCACATATTTACTTGTCAGCTTTTGACAGATACTGAAGTTTCTGTGTATAAATTACTAAAATATTGTTTTAAATATTAAAAATGTGTGTATCATGCTTTTGCTTTCGAACCATGAATTTTTATTTCAATTTAAAATAATTAAATACTATTAATACAGATTTTATCATTTTAAATGATGTTGTTTAGAACTGTCTGTAGAAAAGGCTCACGACACAAGGACAAAATAGAGACTGTAGAGCCCCCTTGTGACTAGTCGTATTGCACTGATTTGCACATGGATAAAGACTTTGATTGCTGCTGTTGTTGTTGCTCATACAGGGTTCCCGCGGGTCCTTGAAAAGTCTTCAATTTAGTTGTATCAAATTTAAGTCTATAAAAAGAAAATTGTTCAAGAAAGTCTTGATGATTTCAAGAGATCTTAAATTTCAGGACGGAAAGACCAGAATTGCGATATTGCTTAATGTGACGATTAAACTTCAAAAGGTTCTGATTCCAAAGTCCAGTGCTGTGCTGCTTTGTGTACTGCTGTTACCTGGGAAACAGTTATATTTTTGGTATTCTGAAAGCGCCTTCTACTGGCAGAGAATGAATGTGCATTTTCAATAAGGCTGTTGTATTGGAGTAGAGTATTCCTGCAATACCCGAGGCTGCCGTTTCAGGACCGCATTTCTAGGACCCTATAGTTTTTATTTTATTTTATTTATTTATTTATTTTGTATGCATGTATGTATTAGCTCATACTATTTAATAACACTTGCTATTCAATAATGTATATTATTATTTTTAAGGAATTTTGTAGTTGTTTAATTGTAATTACTGTCCTAACCGACCCTAAAAATACCTGTTGGTAACCCTCTTGAAATATTTAACCTAATTTATTTCAAGAAATTATATATATATATATATATATATATATATAACAAAGTGCAGTAAACGGTAAAACAATTGCGGTACAAATTAGTGTGTTTATTAGTACTTTTGTAAATGTAAAATAATTTGAATACAAATACTAATTTACAACATCTAGCAGCACAATGAACTGTTTTGCACAGCTAAATAGGCTAAATGGAGATTGCTGACACCC